TCCTCTCCCTCTCCCTGTTCTCTCTCTCCCTCTCATGTTTATCCCTGTCTTTTGTGTTCTTAAACTCAGCCTCTTGATCTGTCCTAGCCTCATCCTTAATGCTCACTCTCGCTTTATCCTTTGCCTCATTTCTTTTCTTGACCTGGAAACACTGATCCTCCAAATCATCATCAGTTCTCCTTACATCTACATCATCATCATCATCTTCTTCTTCCCTAGTACTCATCTGGCAGATATCTCGGATTACCTGCCTGGCTTCCTGCACATACCTCTCCTGCAATGGAGTTGGCATCACTTCCCCATCATCATCATCAAATCCATAATCCCTCATTCTTTGTCCTCTCCCAACCCTAAAATCCCCCCCATCACTTTCTACTTCCCTGTCTGACACCGACACCCTCCCTCCATCCCTCTCTCCTTCCAAGTCAAGCTGCTGCTCAGAGGAGCTCCTCTTCGAGGTGCCACCTGCCAAGCAACACCTAACACCTGTTGTGGGTTTGTCTGAATAGGTGAAGGATTTTGCACGCCGCAGAGTGGCCGTCAGGTCTTTCAGTGACGGGCGACGACCAGAAGGCAGGAGGGTCCCACCATGAGTCCGTGACCCCATCCTGTAAACTGATGATCCCTCCACACCCCCAGATCTGTCCCCTCCACTTGTTTTCCGCACCTTGAGCTCTGACAGGTCAGATTTCAGAAAGCTTAAGAGTGTCATAGTTTCTGAGGTGATATCAGGGTTGGACATGGATATTCGGTTTTTATCATCATCATCATCTACGCCTTCCCCACTTTTTGTCCTCTTTAATACCTTGTTCTCACCACCCCTAACCCCTCCTGTAGATATCCCACCTTCTCTAGCAAGTACACTAGGTGAGGGAGTCACTATGGGTACAATCTTGGGGCGCACCCGCACAGGGTTACGGGAGAAGTTATCCCCATGGCCAAAGCTTGGGGAGCGGTACATGGTAAAATTTCCATGGTAAGTTTTACTCAGCATGGACGAGGATGCAGTTCTGCTACTGCTGCCTCCTGCTTCACCCGTGTTAAAAATCGGATTAGCTGCGCGGTTGACGCAGCTAGCCTGGCCCTCCTCCTTAAGCGTCTCAGTGCTGGAGTACCGGCTGCTGCAACGTGAACCCCCAGGACTGGACACAAATGGGGGGATGTTAACTTTTGACACTCGTGATACTCCAGGAAGTGTTGTGGACGTCCCAGGTGAGGAGATGCGCTCCCATTGCTGCACCCTGGCTCTGTTACTATGACCGCTGGGCTCTCTTGCTGAGTGGCTCCGAGATACTGTTCCTGCGAATTCTCCTCCTGTGTTTTGCTGGTGATGCCTCTCTAAGTGCTCCATTGTCAAGGCCATGTCACTGTCGCTGTCTTCTGATTCGCCGTCATGATCATCATAATCATCACGGCCTGTTGCTAGAGCAGCTCCACTGACCTTCTTCTTCTTTCTTAGCGAGCGGCGGCGCACTGCCTCTCGACTGTGGGGGCCTAAAGAACCAGGACTGTCCTCCTCACTGCCTGAAGACCTGCCAATGCCCTTAGCACCCCACCAGCCATTCTTACTACGGGTTAAATAGCTGCCTCCTCGCTCTGTGGCACCCCTTTCTCCTCCTCTGTAGGAGAGGGAAGGAGCAGGGCCAGAGGGAACACTCCAACCGCCTCCTCCGCCTCCTCTTCTTCTCCTGGTGTGCTCCTCCTCTTCGTCTCCAGAACTAAACCTCCAGCGGGAGCTGAGGGGAGAGGCAACTCTTGCTGGGGCTCTTTGCTCAGAGGAGGGAGCTACAGTAGAGGAGGAGGAGGTAATGGCTTTATCTGGAGCTGGAGCAGAGGAAGGGGAGGAGGAGGTGGGGGCTGGCGCTCTAGAGGAGCTATGTGAGGAATGTAAACTATCCCTGGGCAGCCCGACCCCCTGTCTATCCCTTCTCTCCCTCACTGTCGGCTGCTGAAGAGAGGAGGAGCAGGAGGAGGTGTCTAAGCTCAACGATCGACTCCAAGACGAAGTAGCAGGGGGTTGAAGGTCAGGGTTGGGGTCAGATGTCAACCCTGGTGTCCCAGGGGTCTTACGGGCTGCCTCTACCTCAGTGCTGGGACTATGAGATCTGAATGGAGATGGGTTAATCCTACGGTAGTGACTACCCCCTGTGCAACTACGACTGCTACTACTGCTGCTTTGTAAAGTATTTCTGCCTGAGACTTTGTTGTAATTAGAACTTTGTGTCTCTATGTCTGCCTCTTCATCATTTGAGCAGTGCCTGTGGTAGTCTTTGGAATTAAAGTCCATACCAAAACAAAATGTCTCTTTAGAAGCACTACTTTCTCTGCTTTGTGCTCCAACTATGCATTTGTTATGCAAAGACAAGCCACTGGCATCATTAGCAGAGCTGCAAGGTGAGAGCTTGTCACTTCTATCTGAGAGCAGAGCACTCTCACTGGGGCTGAGCTCCTGTAGTTGGCCTCTGCCTGCTGCTTTTATATTCTCATAAGTGTCAGTCTTCTGCTGTTCTGTAGCTTTGCCTTGTCGCTCATCAAAAAGTTGTCTAATTTTGGTGACACTGGGCCACTTGTCAGAGTGCAGGGGAATAAAGTCACTGTGGTGTGTAGAGAGATAACTTCTGTGAGATTTACAGGGTGGAGGAACCCCTCTACTAGCAACATCCTCTTCCTCGTCTGTGGTCAAAGTCTTTCTGGCATCAGAGGAACATGCATTGATCTGTGAATAATCTCTCTTACCGGAGCTGCTGCTGCTGTCGGTTGATAAACGTGTAAAAATTCGCTTCTCACTTCTCCTCTCCGAGTCCGAGCCTGACACAGAGTCAGTGCCAGAGTGAAACTTTTGCACTTTGTTGTCTGTGAGGGAATCCGCAGTAGTAGTATCACTATCCTGGAAATATCCACCACTGCTGTCCTCGTGAAAAGATTTACGAGACAGAGACCCGTCTCTCCTGGAGCCTCTGGCCCGGGGAAGAGTGCTGCGCCCCCGCGTCACTGCTGCACCGTCTCCCGGTGAGGCTCTGCGCGTCCTGGCGGAGCCGCCACCGCCGCCGCTGTTGCTGCTGAACTTCTCAGTGAGCTGGCGAATGGATGGAGAAATAGAGGAGTGAGGAGTGGAGGAGCCTCTCTTTGGATCTGCGGTTGGGAGGCCGGCGGTGGTGGTGGCAAAGATTTTGGAAACTTTTCTTGACACACTGACATTAGTCGTCGCCAAGGGCTGTTCTGCATTGCTGGGCTCCGGGGGAAGGGCGACGCCAGCTGCCTCCAAATCCTCTGATTTGTGTTGCTGGTCCTCACTACTGTTGGCGCTCCAGGACCCCAACTTTTTGAAAGAGACGCTGCGATACACAGCCGTATTCTTCCTCTCTCTTCCTGCCATTGTTCATGTCTTTCTCTGTTAGATTTCACACACACATTTTAACTCCACGGATATTACAGATCCAAGCACCCATTTGAGCTGTGGTCCATTCCCCCCCGCAACCTAACAGCATGAAAACCCAACAACAATCACTCTTTAAAAAAAAAAAAAAAAAAAAAAAAAACTTAATTGTTGGCAAAGCTTCAAAATGCAGTAAACGAGGTTAGGCGAGTGATAAACAGTTCACATAGTAGGTGAGTACTGCTCTTATCAAAACTTACATGTTGTCGATTCCCGAGACCGCATCCGTGCAGGGAGGAAAAGTTTTTTTTTTTTTTTTTTTTTTGCTAAAACTTTCCCAACCTGTTCACAAACACAACTTTTCCACTGTTGTCCCCTACTCTGTCTAAACCTCTGTCCAGGGTAGCACGCCTGCACGGGCCCGACGCATCATTCACTGTTAATTCCCAAACTGTTTGTGGATTCCTTATTTTGACATGATTTGGTTTTCCGTGACTTATGTTGTTTTTTTGCATGTTAATGCCTGAGATAGGGCAGAGGGGGTGGGCGGGACTTGGGGTATAGGGGCTGTCATAGCCCCCTCGGGGATTGAGAGGAAAAGCTTTTTCTGTTTTCTGATAGGAGAAGGCAGATACTGTGGACAAACTAGATGCAATTATAGCTCTTTCCCTTGCGAAAAAGACAGTAGCCACTGTCATGAGTTTTATACAGAAAAAAACACATTTTAGAGCTAAATTTTTTTTGGGTAAAACTTACCAACATCTCTAGGAAGATAATCATCACAAAACAATGTTGACTTCCCAGACAGAGTATACATTTTACTGTATTTCTGTCTTTAGAGGTAAAGACTCAAAGACTGATACACACTGGTTTTATCTACATACCTGACACACTATATTGGTAACTGCATATTCAGCAATAGCTCTTTACCACATTGTGTTATGATGGTCTTGGTGAATTTATGTGTCAGCATTCGGGGGGGGGGGGGGGCAAGAAAAAGTTTTCACTCATGCACAATAACCCCTCTGTGGTGCTTCCCATGTGGCCGTCTGCTTAACAGGTCCTTTTGTTCCAAAGGGGAATTCTGTGTTACAGTCACTCAGAGAGGAGAAGCTGCATGCGGCAGCGCCCTCCACAGGCTGGGAATGCCGCATGTAATCAACTCTACAGCATCTGTCTCCAGCTCTGTATCACTGAAGCAGGATTCAGCTGCTTTTTATAGTTTCAAGTGCCTTTTGCTAAATTTCCTGCAGTTTTAACTGATTATTCACACAGAACTGCTTCAGTATTTCAAGCACCTCCAGCTGTTGGCTAGTTTTAGTTCATCTTTATTCATTTGAAAGCTTACACTGAGTTTTGGGGTAATGTGAATTTTGTCTAATAAATTACAAAGAAATTTCTACCTGTCATGTTGCCAAGTGAAGCTGCATATATTGACCTTTGAGTTGTATCAGGACGTTGCAGCCCAGGAAAATTCAAGTAGAGACGAGAGCGAGCAACACAATCTCCATCATTACTTAACTCTTACACAAATAATATGCACAGCAAAAAGCTGATGATAGCTAAAAGCTACATTCATGTTGTGATGTGAAAAAGAACAAGAAAAAGGAAAAGGCATTCATGATTGCTCACAATGACTTTTTTAATGCCTGCTTTCATTTAGTTTTACATTATGACAACAACCAAAACATTTTCACAAGCAACTCAAGGGGACTGCACGGCAAGAAAAAAAAAAAAATCTAAAAAACATAAATGTTGCTATTTCATCAGCATAATTATCTCTACATGACAAAAATAAATTCTATTTTTGTGATACATTATTGTACAAAAATAAGAGTTCTTCTTAATAATACTGACTGAAACAAATATGTTGGCACAATACACAGACATCTGGATCTCTCTAAACTGACCACACACACTCAACACGTTACAGAAAGTTGTGTGTAAAAAATAAATCAGACAAAATATCGTAAATATTTGACCAAACAGACACAAAAACAAGAAGACTGCGCGGCCACTTTTTGCTGAAGCCAGGAGCACAATATTCTATTTACTACATCACTGAATATGCACGCTGTACAGACATACACACATTACAGAGCACATAACCTCATGTTGTGGTCAAAATGTCCATTGCATCTAAAATGCTTCAAAATTACATGTTCACATTAAACCAATATTCACAATTATAATATTTTTCCCTCATGGGTGAAAAACTCAAAGTGCAGTTACACGTTTGAACTGTTTAGGTAGTACAGTTAGATTATTCTAATAAAATAAAGATTATTTTAGTCATTTCAGTTTAATTTGGAACAACAGCACTGAATTATTTCAGTTAACACATTCAGCATCAAACACCACCCAATCACCTCATAAGCTAAACACCACAATTACTCATAAGTGCAATGCAAAATGAGGTCAAATTCATACAAAGATTTACTAATCCTTATGGGAATAAGATCTGAAGTGTCGAAATATCATCACAGGGCTAAGATTCACTGTTTCTAGGGATGCTACACGGAGAAGACAAATCTTTACTTAAGTTGTGAAAAAGTACCTGCCTCTACTGCAGTCTAGACAAAACAGATTGAGGGAACATGAAGGGCAGCAATAAAAGATAAATTCCATTGTTTTCTTTACGGTTTGTATAAATTACGGTTTGTAACTGGTCAAATAAGTACAAAGAAAAACATAAAAAATTTGAAAGCATATAAATTAACACTACTCCATGACAAAATACAACAAATACCACAACAAATGCAACAACAAACAACATCAGTCTTCCCATTTACATGCATTTATGTTCATTTCATGAACATTGCAGATTACCAAACCATAAACTCAGTATGGTATAACTCCATAAGAAACAGTAGAGGAAGTTTAAGATGACAATTTCCTCCATTGTACAGACTTTACAAATTGAGACTGTCCTGTATCTGGTTAGAGATATCAAAACAGTAAACTAAGTACAACAAAACTCACAGGCACTCTATGGTACCCCCTTTAAGAGTGTTTTTTCAGAAACATCTCCGTTCCCTACTATCTTTTCATTATTCTATTATCTCTCTAACCCGTACATCCATCGACAGATTTCTTGGGATAGAAATCCTAATTTCATGAGAATGATTCACACACTCACAGGAAGTGGGAAAACAGCAGGATTCTGCTGCCCTAAGGTTCACAAATTGCATTTTTCCTTCCTTCTGAGCATCTAATGCGTTTGATAAGGATTTAAAATGTATCAATGTATAGACACCTCTGTTGGATTCCTTTGTTTACATGAGAACTCAGAGAATATGTGGAAAAAATGTACATTAATGGCATATTTCATGTGCTATGAGCTGGATATTTACTGAACAGTTTTGTTGGCATCTGTTTACCCCTAACAGTTGTAAATTGGATTTAATCTTTACTGGATAACATGTAAATAAAGAACCCCTTTTTAGAAAGGACAGAGCCAACATTTCAGTGCAGTGCTGTTCCAGTAGTAGGGCGCAAACACCATCCAGTGGTGAAAACATGCAACAACAGGCTTTACAGCTTGAATCTTGTTGAAACATGTCATTTGAAGGGAAAAACAGTGGAGACCTTCATGTGAAAGTATAATTCTAATTTGAATAAAAATGCACGTACATTATTCATTTCAATCTTATTCTCACTACTTCAACTGCTATGTTTTTGCAATTCTGTTTTTGCAGTGTGTTTCTCCCCAGTACCAGTTCATTTCCACACACAAGTACTTCATGCAGCCATAAACATTTACAGTCAATTTTAGCATTTTACATGGCTTACTAGTAATAATTTTATCCCAAAAAGTTTAATCAGTTGTTCTGTCCTTCTCTCTTTCACCATGCATATCTCCATATCAACTGTATCTAAAAATCCTCTTCAATGCAAAGTCCTGCATAATCTGTGGGGACCTGCTGGAGTTACTATGTTAGAGGATTTATTTCTTTACTGTACAATTCACAGTGTGAAACAAAAAAAAAAAAAAAAAAATCTAATTTACAAAAAAAAAAAGAAAAAGATAAAAGCTTCTTCTTTACTACCCAGTGCAGCAGAGGCTAAAAGCAAACATCTCACAGATAATGCACAATGTGAATGCCTTGAAATGCTGACAATATAATCAGCACATGTATTCCTCAGCCAAGAAAATTATTAAATAAAGACATTACAGAATCAACAAGTGTCCAAAATGCATGAATTCACCCATAGTCTGTGCTGGGTAAGGCCAATTCAAGATAATGTAAGTAGGAGGAGGATATGATTTTTCACCTCATACTTTTTTCAGTCTGTTTACCTTCCACATTACAAGATCACGACCTTCATGCTGTATTTCAGAAGGCTTCTTGATATGCCAGTCCCTCTAAATCTTTGTTAGATCCTCTTAGGAAGGTACAATTCTTTGTTACAGTGAGTAACAGTTAAAAGCTTGAAGAGCAGCTTTCAATACATGTACAATAAAATGAGGAACAGTGTTTGAAGAACTCAGCAACCAATACATGTACCACTTTGCAGCGGGATCCGTCACTGGTGTACCAACAAGACTTTAAGAAACACTGTTGCAAAATATGATTTCCTGTTTGCTCACACACTGGTGCCCTTGTCCCTGAGAGTGGTGACTCTAAGTACAAACCTTCTGGTGCTCTGTCGGTATTGTGGCTGAGTAAAGTAAAACAGAATAGGGTCCAGGAAGCTGTTCATGCTGGCGAACGGCCTGGTGCTCTTATAGATGATTGAAAACAAGTTCCTCGTCTCGCAGGGCGCACTGGGCAGAGTGCGTATGACCAGGTACATGGTCTTGGTGAGGTGAAATGGCAGGAAGCTTATGCAGAACACTGCCGCCACCACAATGATCATCCTCACAGCCTTGTCCCGTTTCTCCCCAGTCGCCATGGAGACACCCTGGTAGGACACTGGGCGGCAGAGGATCTGGGCCATCCGGCAGTAGCACACCATCACACCCATAAAAGGCAACAAGAAGCCAAGGCAGGTCAGAGTCATGCCATAAGGATAGTAGTCTACTGAAAGCTTTGGTGGACTTAAATCATAGCACACTGTGCGGTTGCGCTGGATTCCTGTCGCAGCGAAGTGAATCGTTGGCGCACATAGGATGGCGACAACCAGCCAAACCCCTACACAGATACACCACGTCATCTTGCGACCACCCTGCTTGTGCCACATCGCAAAAGGATGGCAAATGCCAACATAGCGCTGCACACTGATGCAGGTGAGGAAGAGGATGCTGCCATGCAGATTACTAAAAGAGGAAAAGAGACAAGAAAAATCTGTTAAGTTAAATCTTTATAAGCTGGATTCTTTTATACGGCATTGTACTGTGTCTATTATTTGTATATGGTGGTGTCACCTTATGTCAAACACACCTGACACTTTTGCCTTTTTAAGCCGTATAGTATATAAATATTTATGGCAGTCTATAAACATTTAACAAATGTTTTAAATGCATTATAACATGGTTGTATGCCATTTTAAGTGTCTGTACAGTATTTGTCAGCAATTATAACTTATCCAATAAACACATATTTTATCTTTATCTTAGTTTGACAAATACATTAATAAACATTTGTGTCAGCTTACAACTACATTTACGTTTATTTACCGCTTACAAATGCTAAACATAGGGACTGACCAGCTTCTTTCACTGAAGTATCACCATGCATGAATGCAAATGGAATATATATTTGAAGATAACGGATGAGGGAAGAAGTGAAAAAATTTGAATTAAAAACCAACAACTAATTTTGTTCAGCCTCAGACGTCAGTGTGTAAAGCTTTCATCCCACTATTTATGAAGCTCTAACAAGGCTGACATTGCACTGCTAAGAACCTCAGTATGCTTCAAACAAAGTGCTTGTCAGATCATCTTTTAGCATCTGAAACCCCCTCCCCCACAACTTTCCCACAGCTGAATCAGGGGGAGCTTTTTTTTTGTCAATTTTTGTGACTTTCCAAACAAACCAGGGCCTGCTCCTTAAATGCAGGAGCTGTGTGTAAGGCGGAGGCTTGGTGTGCTGATGCGTGAAAGTAGGCAGGGTTTCAACTTCTCTCTTCACACAGTTACATAAGGCATATTGCGTGTCTACAACCGTGTGAAATGATTGAACACTTTAAACACAGAGCTGCATACAGAGATAGTTAGGCAATATTCAGTCAAGTAGCTCACCTGTAGAACTGAAACCGGACCAGCTTACAGGCAAACTCCCCAAAGGGCCAGTAGTCATGACTGGCGTAGTTGTAGATGAGCAAGGGCAGTGACATCACATACAGAAAGTCGGCTATAGCCAAGTTGAGCATATAGATGTTGTTTTTGGACAGATTGGGCCTCGTCCTCCATATTTTCAGTATGACAACAGCATTGAGAGGAAGGCCGAGCAGGAAGACAAAAGTGTACACAGCAGGGAGTAAAATACGTTTAAAGTCTTCCTTATAGGTGCAGCGAAGGATGCCTATCCCGCTGGTGTTGCTGATGTTACTGGCACTGGCGATAAAGCTGTCCGCTGTGTAGGGCTCTGTAGGGTGTACACTTGTGGAAAAGAAGTCCAAGGGGAAGGCTCTAGAGATGAGGGTATCTGTGGGGTCAGAAAGTGGCATCTTCACATTCTGGAGGGGAGACAGGGAGAGAGACGAGGGCATTGTTACAATGACAATAAAATCTATATTTTAACTGAAACAAAAACAAGAGTGGTGATGTGAATATGCACGATTGAATGAAATTGTTTGTGGTCATTTTGAGCTATTTTCCAGGTGGGTGTGTGAATGCATTTAAAGTGTTAGAAGATATTCCCATTACAAATTAAATAAGGGATTTCATGGATGTTCAAGTGCTGACAAAGAGAGAAACACAACCAAAACCTCTCCACAAGAGGGCACAAGAGATAAGCAGTTTCTTTTATTCATAACATCAATATCTCAAAAATCACAGTGAAGCAGTTGCCTTGAGCCCTGCAAACACTGGATTTAGTCTAGGATCAACTGAACTAAGTACACATTTTTTATCCCCTAGGCTAACTGTTTAGTTAACTACTATTTGATACCAGTAAAGCCCAAATGCTTTGGAGTAGGAAAATCCCAGTTTAGCCAAAATGCAATGGCCCTCAAGAACAATCTAGAAAGAGCAGCAAGATGAATCCTTAAAGCAAGGGAAGCAGTTGATATAATAAGTCAATAAGCATTTTGTTTAAAGAGCCATTAGCTAATGGAACAAAAGACCTCATATACCTGTTAGTTTCACCGTTAGGCAGGTAAAACCCTGTCATGAAATGGAAACAAATAAAATGGAGCACCAAAGTACAACAGTTAGCATCTCTGAGATGTTGCGGAAAAGAAGAATTAAGTTGCAAAAAACAAAAATACTTCAGTATTGTACCAGTACTTCATGATTCTATGTAATTGCACTTAATTACTCTCCAGATATGGCTCCACAGTGTATTTAGTATTTATTTAGTAGCTGCTAGAAAAACTGCATCAAAATACATAATGGTAATAAAATAAGAGCCAACCAATTAGATTATGATAATCTAATCGTTTCATAATTTTCTAATGAATGGAAACTGGACAGATGCGAGTTTTGAAATGAAAACCACTGCAGACTGTCTGGTCTCCCACTCACAACTCACACTGTCTGGAACAGGCTTTTACACATAGAGATTAATCAACAATCTTAATTGCTGCTCCCACCACCAACATCAATAATATCCATTTCCTTCATAGTAACATGTGGGCAAGTGAGTGATTGGCTTAAGCCAGTTCCCCCATAGCCTTGTCAGAGTGTGACTCATGGCATTTCACAACTAACACTCCATCAGCCAAAAAGCTTGTGTGTGTGTGTGTGTGTGTGTGTATATGTATATGAGTGTGTACATGTGCTGTGTTTTAAAAACTGTGTGCCTGTAAGAGCGTGTGTCATTCAGGTTGCTGCCAGAAACAGTGACACATGATTTCATAATTCCTGTAGAGTAATGGAGGGAGGAGAGGGGGTGGAAGGAGCAGAGTGCCAGCAGACCATAAAACCAAAAGGCAGGCACAGAGGAATAACAAAGGTTCCGGAAAAGTGCACTGCAGTCGGCTTTATTTGCTGATGACTCACTTAACTTTACAGTTCAGAGTTTTGATTTATTCACTGTCTTGACTTACGAAAGGGCATGAAACCAACTTCCTGGGTAATCTTAAAGCTCAATGATGTCACGACACTCATTCAAAAAATTAAGTTTTTTTTTCCATTTCAGAGTGATGTCTGATTAACTCTATAAATTGCAGTGTCTGTCAAAAATTATTATTTTTTATGACAGTAAAGGAAGCCCCTTATAGGCAGCTATATGTTTAGGCCTGCCTTTAGCAAGACTCACCAATCCCTACTTCCCGTCATGTGGTGTGATGAACACCACTTTTTTTTGGTGAGACGTTAATAATAAAACTCCAATCCCTACAGATAGTTTCCATATGTTCATACTACAGCTGAGCCTCGTGCCTCCTGTTTGTGAAGTCAAGTCAATTTGTGCTTTTTGGTATTCGTAATGTCATCATGCTTGTGCAGTGAAAAGAGCAAAGAGCGAGCAGTGACATGAAACAAAACGTATTATTTACTTAAGAACTAAAGACCTAAACTAGGTCTACACTACAAGGTTTCCTACATTAAAGAGAACAAAAAAAAAAGAAAATACACACATCCTGGATCCTACATGCCTTACAAGCAAATCATCAGTTTACAATGCAAAGCAGGAAGAACAGCTGAGATCTGCCAACTGAAACAGGCACAGATCTGATTTGCATATTGAATATCCACACCTCATTAGGACTGTGGTGGAGATTATCACATATGAAGAAATTTTCTTTTTAAATCATTTAGGGAAAAGGGTAAAAAAATATATATAAAACCTCTTTCTGGTCTATTTGATTCTGTAGTAACATTTTACAGAGATCTGCACCATCACCTAGTCTATTTTAATTTACTGCAGGTTTAAGATGGCTTTCTACAACTGTCAGAAAGCTGGTTGAATTAGGGAGGCTGGGCATCATCAAAAACATGAACATGTTACTGTTAAACTCAAACATACCCTATCAGTTTAAAAAACATTATGAAAACATTAGTAATTTGAAAACTCACTGCTATAAATGAGCAGCCATGCTGTAGTTGAATATCTTTTATGGTTAACACCTAATGGACACAATAAGGCACATCAAGAAAATACAGACAGACCCACCACACCACAAACCCACAGAAAAAAACTCCAAGAAAACGCTTCTTTTGGAAATCGAAACTTTTCATAAGATTCACCAAAATTGACTCCAGATATTTGTTGTCAGCGAAGCTGAGGTGTAAAGAGCATATAACATGAATTTATTCTGTGTTTACAAAGATGCCTCCTACCTGGGGTGTTTCCAAAATGACACATTAATTAAACATAAATAAAATATGCAAATGAACGACGCATCAGTTTGTAAGCTTAGTTAATAGTTATTTTTAGACAAGGTTCTCTGAACATAAAAATTAAACAAGTGTGTACTGATACTTAATGACACCAAGACTGACACTGATGGCAAACAATTAAAACATTGCTCACTGCCCTTTCCAGCAACTGATCGAATGTTTCATTATGGGTGTGAAGAAGTCAGTTAAACTTTTGATCTATGACTCAGTGCAGCTTTTTCTGCCCACATAGTTGTAAAATTTGGCAGATGTTCTGAAACATGTCCATACATCTTCTCCTTTCCTCTGTGGGAAAACAAACACTGATTCCACTGTACTATTTGAAAGTTGTTATACATTCAAAAATATTTAGCCTAATATTTAAGATCTATATATTTCGATCCATTTCGATTACACATTCTTAAAATGAACTAATTAACTTAAACATATTTGTCAGTCAAAAACAAATCAAACAAGTAAGAATGACATTTATATAACATTGCTACTAAACCCGATGTTTTTTCACTACACAATAACCAAGTTTATGCAAAACAAACTGGGTCATTTGTTGTTGTAATCTAGACTTAATCACTTCTTACCATCTGTGTGAGAAAGAAGAGAGCTGTAATATATTTCATAGTGCTAGTGTAAATATTAGGATGAGCAGAGATGACAGGCTACCTACACTGTCAGGAATGAAAGACAGCCACTTATTCAGTAATGTGCTCAAAGACAACACTCTTGTGCCGTTTTCATGGTGCATCTGATGGTCTGTAGAAATCCTCTTTTCCTTAAAAGTACTGTACTGCCTGAGTCCACGGTCAAAAAGCCTTTTGGAGAATGCGGGCATCGATCCCGCTACCTCTCGCATGCTAAGCGAGCGCTCTACCATTTGAGCTAATTCCCCTGTCTGACCCCAGCCATAAAAAAACACTTAATGACAGCATGAGTACACACGTACACACCCACAGTCCTGCAACAGGAATAATGTTACCAGCTACTGACATGGTCTACTGACTCCCTCTGCACTCTGTCATCTCTCTCTCTCCCTCTTTCTCTCATTCTCTCTCTCTCTCTCTCTTTCACGCACACACATGCTGACAAGAGAGACGCTGCTGCATACTTTCTGCCCTCAGGCTTGCCAGAAGGCACAGCTGAAGGTGATGCAAGATTATTTACAAAACATGATTGAATGTGACTGCAGCTCAGGTCAAATATAGAAGATTAACAACTAAACATAACCCCAGCAGGGTTATAAATCTAACACCACACATTAAGTTTTAATGATTACTCGGCATGTGACCATCAGGACTTTTGAACCCACAACTTTACTGTTTTGGCTCACCATCAGCATCATGTACACCATGTATTAATTCACTATACACTACTTTCCCAGCTCCAAATGAGCCCACTGAAGAGCCAGATATTTCCCCCAAGAGTTGCTGGAGACCAAAACAGAGTTAAAATGAGAAAATATTGGACCTACATTCATCATTGGGACAGAAACCCAACTCCAAGTGAATGCTTATGTTACTCTGTGTCTGTGCACTGTAAATAAAAATTGTTTGCCAACAAATTTGCCATTAAAAAGGAGATAATATGTAGAGCCTCAGCCGATATTGGCTTATCGCAGATATATCGGTATTGGAATTTTTTAACTCCCTAATATTGGTATCAGCATCGGCCCCAAAAATCCAATATTGGTCAGGCTTTAATAATATGTTAATGTTGTGTTTACAGCACGTTTTGCTGCCCCAAGTGGTCAAAAATTGTTGTCTGTCGATTACTTTCATGATTTAATGTTAAGTCATCACAATTTTCAAGACCTGAAGGCGACACCTTTAAATTATTTGTTTTGATGAGCCAATGGTTCAAAACCAAAAATAATCAATTTACAGATATAACAGAAAAAAAAAAAAAATCAGCTGTGGCAGTCTGGCAACAGAGTTCTTCCCCTGCAGGTAATCTGATCTAAAAAGAGCAGGTAAATGGCAGATCAGGGCACATAAAGACATATACTGTATTCGATCTGTAATATACACAGAGCTGGAAATGTAAATAAACAGAGAGATGTTGTGTTGAGGAGAAACAGCAGGGAACAATTCCACTCCAATTACTTTCTCATCTCTGATCTCTATTGTCCCCAGCCACGCTAATCAATGATTCATGCCCGTTCCTCCTCACTCTCTGGCCCTCTGCTGAAATACAACACACACGCTCATTCACAAACACACACACACACACACACACACACACACACACACACACACACACACTTGTGCTTTGCCTATAATTAATTATAATTAATTTGAAAAATGGCACACAAAATGCCCAAGAAGGAAACTAAAATCAGTTTCACACTACACAATACAATCACATGTTTGCAGACATACATATACATTTGTCTGCCATACACACAAATACACAGACATGCACTTACATGTACAAAAAATGCACATATACATATACACATCACAAGCATAAACATCCTCTTTAATTTGACAAACAATAGACATTATCTAATTTTCCCAGCAAAGACAGATGCAGCTGCAGTGGCAGAACACACACTATTGCATCCTACAGATGTGAAAGCTCTTTGTCTTAATTAAGAAAAAAAAACCAAACACTTTACTAATTATCTTAGCTAGAATGGTGCCGGCTAATACGAGTCTATCAATCCTGAGGACAGGCACTGTGGCCATTACACAGGAGACATTTTAAACCAATCAGCTGCACCATAAATAGATACAAGGGTGATGAGGAAGGCTGGTGTTCAACACAAGCACACTGCTTGCCATATGCTCATGAAGAGAACTCAACTGCAACCAGTCAGCATTACTAATAAACAACTTGGAGAGCAGCAAGCAACATAAATATTTGAGCTAAAAAATGTCTGCTTGTACTCATTCTCATGATTTCCACAGAGCATGTGTAAAAGCTTAACAAATATGGGCATCACTACACTACCATAAAAAATCCTCTTCTGGTAGAACCAAACCAAAAGGTTAAAAACCAGTTACTTCTAGTCCACTAAAAAAGTCCAGATGGACAGGAATGCCTTCAACAGTGATATAATCACACACAAGGCACACGCAATGTTCTGTTTGTAATAATTTGCCCACACTTGTATAAAAATACGTGTTGATGCACGTCGCTGTGGATGGATTATGACTGAAGACTTCTTTCGGCATGTTCAGGCCCTTGCGGGTGGTTGCAAAACATAGGGGAAGTGAATGTAGATGAAAGAGGTAAAATACAGAGACAGGACAGTGGGGCATCGGTCACTGAAACCTAAATGCGGATACACCACAAAGTTCCTACTAGAATGATCATTTTTTTGTAAATGCTAATTTGGTTCGTATACACAGCATCACCACAGATGCAAGAACAACCACACAGACATATTTACTACTAGACATTAGTTTCTCTCTCATCTCTGTCCTACACCTGTCTATCATTAGAATAATAAAGACTTGTTGATAATGCGTAAATATCCCAGGGACGCACAAATATTTTCAACTTTTGCTGCTGTCTAGACACTTGTTTCTCCTCTTGAAAGGTAATTGTTACTGGTTTACCTCTAATGTTAATAAAATCAAAACATGTTTTTGCTAACATGAGCATAACAGCTTGAAACGCACCTTTCGTCAGGCAAAAAGAACTCATCAAAAGCTCAACAGTGGAGCAAGTAGCACTTAGCATGTGCCCTGTGGTGGCTGTTGTCATGGGTTTGTGGTGCAGAAGGGATGTGAATGCATCTCCAGTTTAAGAGTCAGTAAAGCATAAAGACAGGGCAAAATCAAATGTAATGGCTTTACTGTCTTTACTGAATGATTCCTCAGAGCATCTCTGGCAATCTTGTAGTTTTTTTAACATCAGCTCTGGTCACTATGGTTCCCAATTAAGACAAACTATTGCTGCTGTCCCTCTAAATCCTACTCAGAATGGAGAAGGCAGTTTAATCTTAGGGCATTCACCTTAAATTACCAATTTTAAGAGGACACGTGGCTGGTATGTTTGGGATGGCTGCCAGTGAGCTGCCACTGTAAGATAATGCCATGCACTTAAGTTTGTCCTGTAAACAACTTTGACCTTGTTTCTGTCTCTCTCTCTCTCTCTACCCTGCTATCACTTCTCTGTCTCTGTCTGCGAGTCTCTAAACCAGAGTTACATTAGTCTGTTCCCGTCAGACGGACAAAAAAACCTACAGAAGCCTGACCTCTGCCAGGCAGAAAGGAATCTCCTCTGAAAACACAGTAACTGTCAAAAGTCCCATGGCCAGTGTGCCAGGTCTTTACACATGACAGCCCATCTAAATGACTTTGGGTTATTAGGTCTGTGATGTGACAACTTGTTTTTACTGGACTTAGCTACTGTCCCTTTGGTGCAATAAAAATGACAAAGGAAACAAAATTTGTGTAATAGGAGCATCTTGCAAAAATCTCACTTCTGTATTTTTCCACTCGTGTAAGGACAGGAATGAGCTGCCTAATAGGGTATTATTTGATAAGTTGTTGAAGAGAATCATTTGTGAATCAATAATTTAAGTAATTTTTCAGGCAATAATACCAAAATGACAGATTTCCAATTTCTCAGTTGTGGAAATTTGTTATTTTTCTTTGTCTTCTGTGGCAGTAAACTCAAACTTTTGAGGTTTTAGACTGCTGTTGGAACAAATGAAGAAATCTGAAGACATCACTTTCAGCCTAACCCTATTTTTCACTATTCAAACTCAACAGTTAATCGATTAATTACGAAAACAATCAGCAGATAAATCAATAATGAAAAAAGAATCCTTAGTTGCAGCCCTACATACATGTAAATAGTATACATACATACATATATATAATAGCCTATTTTATACATCCTGCACTTTCCTGCACCTAACTCTTATCTTTTTGTCACCTGCTCTACCTGCTTTGATGGCGTCTCTTGAAGATGCTTCGTCCTGTCAATATTTGTTCTCAGTTAAGTATAAACTTAATCTCCTCTTGAGAAACATTGTACTGGCTATTCTCAGATGGTTGATACAGATATAGAGACAGATGGCTGTTCTGTGGATACACTGCTCGTTGTCATACAACTACGACCATATTGAAGATGTTGTATTGGGGGGAAAAAAGCCATTCATCAAGGGTGCAAGATTCATAACAGTATTCACAAATGGGAACGAAGGACACAAACAACAGGCAATGCTCTGCAAGCACAGATGCTGTCACAAGAATTCACACATGCACCATAAAACCTCAGTACGTAATAGTCAGACTACAATTCATTTGCGTCAGGTTAGCGTCTTGCCTGAGGTCGAATTGGCTCTTGTTGTTTATACTCCCAAATTTAAGGTGAAGTGACTTTCGAAACTGGATGCAACGAATTTTACCAAAACAGGAAAAAGTACAATAACTTGTTTTCAACCGTACACATGACGCAATTTTTCCTCCACCATGACAGAAAGACATTTGCCAGGCTTGGTTTGTACTCTTAATACCTGAAGCTTCCTGCTGTGTTTTCTATCTGATTTATCTCGTTCAGTGTCTACATTTTCGTAATAAAAGATTCAGATGTCTTGGGAAAAACAAACAAACTATAAAGCTGTGACAGGAATATCAAAATGATACCACTGGCGCTAAAATGCCATGTATAGCTGGTATGACAAGATTGGTATTGAACACAGCCACGCTATGCCCAGTGGGAATATTGTGTTGTTAGCCTATTAAGTTTGATTCAAATGCCTTAGCTTCACATTCCTTTAGGGCTTGGTGAAAAGGAGAGGCAATTAACAAATAAGGAAAGAAAGAAATAAAACTTACCATGAATGACTGCAATAAATTTCAGTTGCAACATCAAAAAGTTGGCGACTTAGCCATGGCGAAAAGACTCGTGCTGCTCCTTTCTTCTCCTCTGCAAAAACAAAGACCAGTTCGGCGAGGAGGGAAAACCCGCTGAGTTAAAACAAGTGTCAAGAAATCACACTCGACGCGTTTTTAAGTCACCAACATTGAGTACAAGTGTGGTTGCAACTGTCCCGGACGTACCTGCTGTGAAGCGGCTCCGGTGGCTGCACACACTCTTCCTAGACACACACACAAACACACACACACTCACACACTCTTCTCTGATCCTGTTGCTGCTGCTGCTGCTGCTCCACCGGACAACTGCGCGCGGTAGTGGGAACCACGCACGCGCAATGAGTCTTCCACGGCATGACAAGGGCAAAGGCAACGATTCAAAATACAGTCGAAGTAATGTCTGAGCGCTTTTATGTCGCTGTTTTAACCAGAGCTGTCAACGTTTTAAATAATTACACCATTATCACGAGTAACACTTGTTTGTATGAATGGTTGGCTGGCAGGTGTAGCTACTTTAGAAGTACATCAAACCATGGACGGATTATGAGACAATGGGCTGCTGTGGGCAAGCATGCTAAAGGGCCCCCACCGCCCCCCCTACACAGGAGCAAGACCGTCAGGCTGAATGAGAATAGAAGTGACTGTTGTGGCTGCAGTGGCAGAAAGATGGATGGATGAACGATGCAAACATGTCGTTTGTGGGTGTTTTGTTTCTCTTTGTAGTCTAAGACTTTGTTGTCGTTTCTCCTTGATGTAGTATAGCATATCTTTGTGGTTGTTTTGCATCTGTTTGTGTAGCCATGTGGTGTCTCTTTCTTGTAGTTTTGCATCTCTTTATGGTTGCTTATCATCTCTTTTTGGTAATTTTGCATCTCTCGTGTTCATTTTATGTTTCTTGTGGTCGTTTGCATCTCTTTGTGGTTGTTTTGCATGTCTTTGTAATAAATTTGTGGTAGTTTTGAATCTGTTTGAGGTTGTTTTGAGTCTGTTTGTGGTTGTTTTCCATCTCTTTGTAGTTGCCTTGAGTCGCTAAGTAGTCAGTTTGTGTATTTTTGTTGTAGTTTTGTATCTTTTTGTTGTCATTTTGTGTCTCTTAGTGTTTATTTTTAATCTTCATGGTCCTGTTGCATCTTTTTTGTAATCGTTTGGTGTCTCTTAGTGGTCATTTTGTGTCTCTTTATAGTTGTTTTATTGACTTCTTAACAAGAAATGTCAGTCGTTCGGATAGAAACTCTAGCCCAGGGGCATGATAACCCTTTTGACTAATGCCTGTGCCCAGTAGACTTGTTCAGTAACCCTTCCATCCCTCAAACATAGTTCCAGTCAACAATTTCATTCTGAATCAGAATGGAAGGAATATTCAACTAAACATTTGTGCTTCATGCTGCTACCAGTTGAAATTGAACCAACATATTAGTTAAACTGGTTAAAAACAAACTTAAAAAAGTGAATCAGTACTTAAACAGCTTCTTTTTTTCCCTTTGGTAAGTGACTAAGGTGTATTAGTTATTAGTTCAAGACCTCCTTTGACTGGATGCCACAAAAGTCTGCAAAGTTTTCCAATTCAGATAATTGCTTGTTTATACTTTTACTTTATAACTTTTATACCAATTTTAAATGCATGAGTTTAGAAATACTGTCAGTCTGTAAAATGTGCACATTCAACAGGAGAAGAATGAAAAAATGGAGACAAGACCTTGGTGTGCTCAGTGTTAGCTACAGCCAGTGGTATAAACATGATAATATCTGAAGTGTCTCAACAGAAACAACAAGATACTGGTAGAGAGCTGTCAAGCTTCTATGTATTTACCCTGTGTGAGTGGAGTGTAAGCTTACAGCAGTGGTCCTGGGCCCAATACAGCCTCCACAGCAAATTGATGACATGTGCTAAACATAAGGCCATGAGTGGCTATCACTCTAATTACAGAGCACACCACCTGCCATGTTCCAGCATCTTAGAGTCTGATTAGTATCTGTTGGCAGCTAATTGACATAAAACACTGGCAACCTTTTTAAACATTACAGAGAGCGACAGAACTCGACCTCATGTGTGACTATGTCTCTGCTCACTGGGATTTTATGAGACTTTTATTGCACTCTTATTTGATTTGACAACATTGTGTTTCCTGCTCAGAATCCGGTTTCAATCAGAATACATCTGATAAGCTGTGGCCACAACAGAGTTTCTTTTATTTTGGGAACATATTCCATAAATACAGTGTTGGACAGCACAGCATTATTGATCAACTACAAATTACTGTCAGTTACATTCACAAGAGGTTAGGTTGAACTACTATCTAATGGAAGTAAGTAGATGTTTCTGCCTGTCTTACATACCTTCAGTCCATCATTGTCCTCATTGGGTTAATGAGTATCATTCTAAAGGGTAGACTGAGCTGAAGGCCCGTGCATTTATAAAAACACATTATTAGTAATGAAACCATGTTCTTACAGCAAGTGTCAAAGTTCTGTTTACAGATTCTGATCTCTAATCATCTGGACATGAACTTTTGTTCACATACTTGACTGACGGATGTGCTATTTTTGCCTTTTGATCCAGGCCAATGCCCTGGTCCAGATACTTGAAAAAAGAAATGTGGAAAACATGTCAACATAGACTATTCTTGTGGAAACTGACAACAGAAGTAATAGTTTTGTTTTGTAGTTCTTGTAGTAGTACTTTTGCTTTTGTCCTCAGTGTTGTGGCCAGTGAGTGTTAACTGCATGACCACGAATTTGTGTTGGCCTTGTCCTTCACAATGAACCCATCCTTCATAGTATAATCATTTAATATCTATAGATGTATCAATATCAGATGGAAGTAGAACTGTCTGTTCTTGAGTCACCCCCGTCTGCATTTCACTAATGACTTATTGAATATGAATGATTGATTTAAACAGACGTCTCTCCCTGCAGCTGTGCAATGCTAAGCCTGAAACATTAGAGTACAAGCTGTGACATTAGAATTTGGATCTTCCTCAACAGTTGGAAAAGTGAAAGAAAACAAAACTCTTATGTGGAGTGAAACTAGCGGTTTTTGGTCTTGCATGTTTGAAAAGAAAATAATTTACAGCCTGATTACTCATGTTAGTCTTCAAATATTGTGTTGAACTGCTGTAAAATATTGTATTGTTACTATCAACGCTCCAGATGTCATTGAAGTTATCAATGTTTTGCTGACTGTGTGTGAGGAGAGTTTGAGAAGCCAGATTTCAGCATTTGTATTAACAAATCCTAAGAGGCCGCCAGCTGACAAGCCCCTTTATGAGAGTGTGTGTGGGAGACAGAGATAAAAAATAATAAACGGCAGTGTTTATGACTTTCAATTCAAGTGAACTTTAGTGTTCACAGGAATTCGCAGAAAGTAAACAATAAAAAGATGTTTGATTATCAGCTCATGCTTGCATTCAGTAAACACTAGACTAGAAAATTGGCCGCCATTGTTCCCGACCACACATAATTTGATGTGACACAAAATCTTTCACAAGACAGTGAAAAGATTTTTCAGAATAAACAGAAAAGTAGTCAGCAGGTTTGAAACATAAATATGAAAATGATTTTTTAGGATAAATAAGACAAGATGCCAACTGTAACACAGGTAGTACAAGAACAGTGAAAGCACATAAAGGGAAATAAATCCATCACTATCTTATTTCTGCCACTGATAGAGGAAATTAATAAACGAAAGAGGGTATAGTCACTTAGATGATTACATTTCTAAATACTCAGCGAGATCATGCTGACAGTTGACCAACATCCAGCAGACCTCTTTTTCTGAATTAGCTCATTTGTCATGTTGAAACAGAGACGTGTGCAGACAGGGAAGTATAGATTCTATTTCACTTCAGAAAGAAGTTGCTCAAAGCTTAATCAGCATATTTCATAATGATTGTGGTAAGAGCCTCTCTGATCCAAAAACACACTTCATTTACAGCCTACACCCATCTGCAATAGCTTTACAAAGACGTCCTAATGAAGGGGTAGCTGCAATAAGTCAACCTTAAAGGGCCGTCTTCAGTGGCAGTGAAATCTTAAGTGTGAAGTTGCAGTGGGAAACTACATCAGAAGTATTGTGTTGCATTTCAGGAATGCCAGTTGTGTAACCATGTGGCAAATCCTACCAGCTCAGTCTGAATTCTGTCACAGAAGCATCTCTGCATTCACACTTTAGCCATCTCACATAGTTTTGATTAGATCACACCACAAACATGTTTTTTTTTCAGTGCTCACTATTGGACTGGTCTTCCTGGCAGCAGTGTGACAGTTTCACTGAAACTTACTCCAGCAATCCAAAGCCAAACCAAACAGTCATGTGTGGTTTCCCACATCTGACCCCGAGGTCCGGTCCATCTGTACAACTTGAGCTAAATCTTTTCTTTAAGTTTTCTTCATTGCAGACTTTGTGGTGTGTGACTGCCAGTAATAAAAACCGTCAGGGTTCAGTTCATCGAGAATTTGAGAATGTTTTTACAACCTGCATCTGGTTTTTCTGGATTGAGCGTCCCCTGTCACTTCAATTTAAAATCCCTGATACAAGCGACTAATGTAAAATCAAATTGCGTGTGATTATGTGTGTGTGTACACATTGCTCAGTGTTTAATGCAAGCATGTTTGAGAGTCATCTGCAGCAGGATGTTATGATTTACCTGATGACTGCTTAAAGAGTAGTTTGTGTTTTGTTCATGTAAACTGAATACACAAATGACATTGTTACGGCCGCTACTCTGGCCACTTTTGTTGTGTTTCATTTTTCTGTTTGCCAGGCTGCCTGCCGAGCGGCCTGCTCCTGTCCCCACGGATGCTCCACCCTCTCTTGCCTAATTGGTGCGGTTTGTTTGCAGCTGGCCAATCCCTGCCGCCCAATCAGGAACACCCAGCTATAAAGCTCCGGCCCATCTGTCAGTCGTGGCAGCTGACTGTTAGTGGCAGCTCGCCTCTTTGTGGAAAGAATATTTGTCTTGTGTGTGAACAGTGAGATAGCAGAGAGTGGTCGCTTGTTTTGCGACAGTTTTGTTTGTGGTATTTTACTGATGGTAATCTTGGAAGCCTGGAAGTGGGGTCAGGTTTAGATTTTATACTTAAACTGATTTTACTGGTTCCTCCACTTGTAGCAATTTGTTTTGTTACACACACTAGGTGCAGGGGTGCTGTTCCTGGTGTGTTTTTGTTCTTTAGTCGGCCTTGGTAGCCAGTTTTGTTTTTCCTTTTACTTTCAATTGGGTAACTGATTTTACTGTTTAGCTCATAGAGAGTCCTCCTTTTGTTATATTCTGTT